ATCAAAATATATTTAGAGGTCGCTCAAAGCGCTCAAAGCATCCCATGTATTTTGTATGGGGAAAAAAATTCTTTTCGTAGAAATGGCATAGAATCCATGGAAATCAAAATTTTTCAATCTGAAAGCTCTGCTTCTCTTCAGAAGACTTCAGAGAATAATGCCCAATTGTTTATTTAAACATTTTTTAATTTTAACTATTTTTTAAGGGTCTCCGAAATATTCCAAAAAAAATCAAATATACAAACAGAAATATAAAGAAGAAAAAAAGAAAAAATAGTTTAAATTAAAAAACGTTTAAAAACAATTGGGCATTATTCTCTGAAGTCCTTTGAAGAGAAGCAGAGTTTTCAGATTGAAAAATTTTGATTTCCATGGATTCTATGCCATTTCTACGAAAAGTATTTTTTTCCCCATACAAAATACATGGGAAACTTTGAGCGCTTTGAGCGACCTCTAAATATATTTTGATTTTAAAATAAAAAAACAGGGGTATACTTTTTTTCGGTATAGAACAATCCTAGGGGGTGAGAGCATCAAATTTCTGACTCTTACTTTTCTCCCATACATTTTTGGACCACCCTAATGCAATACTTAAACACGTATTCTATAAATCGATACGACTAGTCGTCACTTGCCGGAGTTTAATAAGGGTATTATACATTTTGTACACTTAGATAAATTAGGCTATAAAAAGTAATAAAAATTAACGCGTAATTTAGTAATAAACTTTGATATGCTGCTTTTAAAATGAAACAAATTGAGCACGCGGGATCTACATATGTGGATAGGGGATTAACTTTTTTGAATTTACCGGGTTTATTTAATGTCAAACGCTGCTTACAATGTCTACCATCTTTTAAATAGTTTAGGTTTGATTAAGTATTAAGACAATGGAGCGGTCACTTAATGATAGCTCTCCAAGCGGCGACCTATTGATCTATGTATACGTTAAGGAATCGCAGGTTCTCTTGGCTGTGTTTTATTTTGGTCACAAGCGCTTAGTTAGAACTTCACCAGCGGCCCATAATGGGCTCTCTTTATTGCACGACGGACAGGTGCAACCTGTATTGGTCAGAAAGAGCAGTCTCCGGTGAAGTTAAGCCTCGGCAGCTAAGTTATTTCAGTTAGTTCTCCAACCCTAAGGATGAATGGGTAGATGGTTAGGTAAGTTGATGGGCTGTCAGTTTAATGGCCAACTCACTTAGACCTTACAGATCAATTGTAAGATTGTTTTTTTTTTCCTATACCATAGTTTCGTAGTATAGCTAAAAAGCGCCTACCTAAAAAGCCCCTCTGCTGTTAGCAAAAGCTGGGCACCTACAGCAGAATTGCTCAACTGTTTCTTCTTCTTCCCTCAACTCCGCAACTTCTTTATTTATGGTAGTATATTCCTAGTCTCTAAACTTGCCTCTAGTAGACTAGTTGTTGTACAAGTGTCCTCGTCTAACGTAGCCTATTTTCCTCTTGAATAATATAATTTCTAATAGCTAATTTTCAGGTTGCTATAGGTATCCCAATCTTTTCTATATCTTCACACAGTGGAAGATTAGTACCTTTACTCGCTAGCTGATCGGCTCTGCAATTTCCTTCAATATGTTTACGACCCGGGATCCTTATGAGGCTGAACTTGAAGAACGTTTGGTTTTAGATTTACCGCATCACACTATTCAAGCCATTTATACCAAAACGAAAGACAAAATTGGTAAGGAACAACTACACAATGTAGTTTGAGAAATAAAATGTCAAGGAAAAGAAGGAGAAAACTGCAGCAAGGTTTACATTGGCACAACGAAGAGATCGCTTGGAACGAGAATCAACAGAACATAAGCTAGACGCCAAAAACAACAAGAGTACCACAGCATTAGCGCAACACCTGACGGAAAACAAACATACAGCTGATTTTGACAATGCAAAGGTTTTGGACGTGGAGAACAGAGCGAGAAGAAGGATGACATTAGTAGGGTGGCGCATACAACACAAAATAACTGAAGCAATGAACTTCAAAGAAGACGTAGATAATATAAACTGTGCATACGCGACTGCAATTACACACAATGCTGAGGTTTGACGTGAAGGATGTGCAGTGTTGTTTAACGTGTCTTAATGTTTTTAAATATGTTTAATTTATGTTGTGATAATTTTATTGCTAAATAATAAAGTGTAATTAGTGTAAAATTATTTTGTATTGTCTCATTTGCTCCTTTTAATAATTATCCGTTATCATTATGTTTTTTGTATTTATAAATATATAGACTCCCTGAAGCGAATATGCGTCGAAACTATAGTAAACACTTGTTTTATTTAATATAACCGGCCAAAAAGCTCCAAACCCAATAGCATTTTTTTCTTTATTAAAAAAAAAATATTTGATTTTGTGTATTTCGTTGTTTTAAAAAAATATATATTTGTTTTAATTTCATATATTTTAAGGCACTTATTTAATTCTTTCTTTTTCAAATTTAACTTTTGTATAATTTTTTACAAGGAATTTTTTATTTAATTTAATTTTAGGAACTTATTTTTTATTTTGTTTTTCTTTTCTGATTTAATTTGCCTTTGATATTAAGATTTCATTGCCTTGAAAATAAAATTTTTTAATATCATCTTTTATTTTTAATATATTTTTTTAAAAAAGAAAAATATACCTATATACATATTTTTTAATTTAATTTAAGTTTTTGAAAACATTTCTTAAATACATATAGACAGAATAACGAAAACACTTTCTTGTTGGCAGATCTTTCGAAAGCGCCTTCAAGATAGTTGCCAGAGTTGACAATTAAAGAATTGCCCTGTAAAGCGAGATTCATAATGAATATTCATTAACCTTCATGCACAATACAAACATGTAACGAGAGATGGAACAACTAACTTTTAAAATGGGCGTAGTTTCTGTATCAACCACACATTTAATTCAATCACGTTAGCTTCATCATTTAATATACTAAGTAGTCTTTACATAACAGCCCCCAATACGTATACTTAGAATTTGATTGCATACATGCATGCATACATATATATATATGTATACATACCACATACAATGCATGTAGAATGTACCCGTAACAACCGCAGAGGCTTGATAGATATAAACTGACAAGTAATCAGTTAACATCGCTTATTATTGAAAAAAAAATAAAAAAACATAAAAATAGTGAAGCTGGGACGAGTTGCCTATTCAGAAATAATTACATGACNGTACATACATACATACCACAGACAATGCATGTATGTACATGTAACAACCGCAGTAGCTTGATAGATATAAAATGACAAGTAATCAGTCAACATCGCTTATTATTGAAAAAATAGTGAAGCTGGGACGAGTTGCCTATTCAGAAATAATTACATGACTTTCACAAAAATTAATAATTAATGGCGAAATGTTTACATGTTAGCAGCAATTAGTTGAGATCTAACTTTAATTATATTAGATTGATTCCTAGTGTAAATAAATACATACATACATATATATGTTTGTATGTATGTTTTTTTTTTTGTATATTACACAGCATGGAAAATTTAATGAAATGCTCTCTTCTTAAATTGCTATTTTCACAAAAAGTCAGTTCTGATATAAAACTTTACCTGAGCTTTAACTAATATATATCGCTTGTTAATAGAAGTAGCTGTTGGATTGCTAAATAAAAGTTAACACCAGTTATCAGAGTTAAATCTGGAACTAGTTTTTGTAAAAATTTCAGATAGATCGTATTGAATCAAAGCCCTCGAAATGTACTATCCTACAGTGGCATATCTAGGACATTGAGTACCCACTCACTCACAAAAAAGATTGATACAAGACAGCAGACAACATCCATTATCAATGCCATAGATACATTAGATTTCGTCACAATTTTGTGTTTTTTTTTGGGCCGAAATTCTAGTTCCTTTTAAAATGTGGTCTGAACACGNAGGAACTAGTTTTTGTAAAAATTTCAGATAGATCGTATTGAATCAAAGCCCTCGAAATGTACTATCCTACAGTGGCATAGCTAGGACATTGAGTACCCACTCACTCAATGCCATAGAAACATTAGATTTCGTCACAATTTTGTGTTTTTTTTGGGCCGAAATTCTAGTTCCTTTTAAAATGTGGTCTGAACACGGAGGCAGAATGCTGTCTGTGATTCGGGACTTGATCGAAAACTCATAGTCTGATGTAGATAATTTTTGAGATCAATAAATCAAAGAAATCAAAAAAAAAAAAAAAACATTTTTTACTATACTGCCCGAACAAAGTATTGGCACAGCAAATTTTTCACAATATGTGCAATAATAATAATATTTTTCCGCAAATTTTGTATAAGAAATAGGGTTAATTTTTTTGTGTATGCAGATTTGTAGCCCAATTATTTTTATTGTAATAAAGTGCAAATTTTAAGTAGCTAAAACTACCGTTGATTTTTGGTATTTTTTCACGCAGTCTCTTCCAAACAAATTTTTTTTTTTCGAAAATACTTTGTACGGAAAAAATGCAAAACACCTTCAACAAAAGAAAAATCTCAAAAATCCGAACATGCATTTTTTACTACAATTTAATGGGCTGCAAAACTGCATACTCAAAAAAATCTAAAAAATCTGATTAAAAATTTGCTGAATTCTCGCGAGTTTTGCACAAAGTTTAGGAATTATATTTTTATGTTTTTTGTTACAAAATTGCCATAAAAATATTAGAATAAAAATTGTTGCATATATTGTGAAAAAATTTGCTGTGCTTATACTTTGTTCCGGCAGTGTATAAATAAAATCCAGTCAAACACGAATGAGTTTGTTTTATAGTGCATTTTACAGTGAGGTATATTTAAAGTTTTTATTTTCGTATTTTAATCATTATTTAATATATGCAATATTGTACATGGTTTACAAATGTTTAAAGCCTTTCGTTCACTTTTATTTCTATAATTATCGTTTACTAAATATTAAAATTCGAAAACTACATTTTTATATACAAATACGATATATGTACATTCGTTCGATTTAATTTTGAAAAATAAAATATTCATTTAAATAACAATAAATATTTATAATAAACAATTCACGTTTTTTCTTATACATACATATGTTATACATAATTGACTATTTCGGATTTACGAGCCTAATTTCATTGTTCAAGTTATTGTGCGCTCTTTTCTCACTCTCACCTTTTCAATACAGCAACTCCTTATGATGATCGTAAGCGCTCGCCCATACCTTAGCCTTTGCTAATTCTGGCCATTCGATTAGCTTTAAGTCATCATTTATATTTAAGCAGAGAATTTTCGGTTCACTTTTCTTGAGCGGTTCCCACGTCAGTGTTGTCATGCCGGGTATTTGCTCGTCGTTGGGATTCCCACTAAGCGCGAATTGTGTCCAAAATCCGAGCATACGCTCTATTGTGCGATATTCGCGACTATCTTTGGGCACACGATGTGAGTAAAGATTTGAAAATAGGTAAGAAAGTTCATCTGCATGCGACACACCCTTTACGCCACGCCCCATGCGAAAAATACGAAACGGATGTGGCAACTCTTCGGAATCGAAGTCAAAACGATAGAGATAAAGCGGTGCTCCGGCAGCGTATGTGAAGCGTGAGCGTATAAGTCGGTAGAGAGGCAAATGAAGGTAACTGTATTCTATGATCTGCAAAAAAAAAACGCTAATTTATTCAATGATTTTTAAGTAAGTAATCGCTTGTGCTTTTAATTCGTTTGGAATTCACTCACCTTTTTATATTCCTCAATCGTTGGTATTTTCCCACTGACATGCGTTACCTTCAATTTCTGCTCAAATTTTTCCCTTTCCTCACTTACGGCAACTTCAAAGGGCACAAATGGTTCCAACGAGTAAGTCTTTTGTCTTTGGGCTAAGGCGGCTAATTGTTTTGCACCTGAAATTCAAAGATTTTTGGTATCCAGAGCAAGAAAATAGAAGAGTAGAACCAAATAGGCTGAACTAAAAAAAAACTAATCTCATTCATTTTAGTCTTATACTACCTTAATTAATATTATTTTCCTAATATAAACGAATCTAGTCTTATCAAATCTAACTCACTCTAATACCTATATATGTACATGTAATAAAATTCTAACATGTATATATGTATGTAATTGTAAAAATTAACATGGTAGATCTTTTTTAGAGCAACAGAAGCAAAATCAACAATTTTCAGAACTCGACAACAAAAGCCAAATCAAAAATTTTTAGAATTTTTTTCTCTCTGTCTGTATGTTTCACTCGAAAACTAATCCATGGAATCGAATGCAGTTTCCACCGTTGTATTGTCTAACTTAAAATAAAGGGGAACAAATACTTAGAGAGCTGCCATCTGTTTGAAAATTGTAGTTTAAGTAAATTGATAAGATAAAGTAAATATTGCCCTAAAAAGGTTTGGGAAAATTTACGGCCAAGTTTTTAAAATCTTTTTAAATTAAAGTGATAACATAAGGTAAATACTGAATTAATATCTACACCTCTGAAGAAAGTGCACGATATGTAGAATCGAGTTACATGACTATAAGTTAAATTTCCAGGGTTAAATACCTTCGAAAACATATTAAATACCACTCTTGTTCACAAAACAAAAATAAAGTATGTTTCATAAATCGAAAACTTGTTTGAAAATCTCACTTCATAAAGCTTTGCAAAACTGTCTTATTTTTTAAGAATGAAGCCATAATAGTTTTGGGAGGGAGAAACAACACAAAAATGCTTTTTAGGCGCAGCGAAGTACGCCAGGTATTTACTAGTACCATAATATAATCTATTTGAATTGATTTTAACCTAATATTATCGAATCGAATTAATCCTAACCTAATATAACCGAATTTAAGTTAGTTTAATTGAATCTACTTTTATTGAATCTAATCAAGTATAATATATTCTAATTTAATTTAATCAAGTCGAATGGATTCACATCTAATCTAACTAATTTTAGCCTAATATAATCGAATTTCATCTAATCTAACCGAATCGAATTGATTATAACTTAATCAAATTTAATTTAATATACTCCGATCCAATCCAAACGAATCCTATCAAATCGAATGTAATCTATTCTACTCCAATCTAATCAAATTTAATTGAAGCTAATCTAATTAAATCGAATCCAATCTAATTGGTTGTGACCAAATCGAGTCGAATCGATTATAGCCTAATCGAAATTAATTTAGTCAAATCCAATCCAATTAAATCGACTCTTATCTAGTGAAATCTAATCGTTTCTAGTTTAATTTAGTATTCGAATCTAATTTAATCTAATCGAATAGAATGTAATTTAACTAATCCCTAACCTAATCAAATTGAATTTTGTCTAATCTAATCCAATTCAATCGAATTTTATCTAATTTAATCTATCTAATAATCCGAATAAATCCAATAGAATCTTATCTAATCTACTATAATCGCATCTAAGTTAATCTTTGAATCCAATTTAACCTAATCGAATCGAATTCAATATCATCTAATTTATTCGAATTTCGTCAAATCGACTTGATTATAACCTAATCGAATTGCATTTAGTCTAATCTAATCCAATTCAATCGAATCTTATATAATTTAATCTCATATATACTAGTTTCATATAATCTAATTCAATTCAATCCAATCGAAACTTATCGAATCGTAATAATCTAATCTATTCCAGCTCAACGTAATCTATTCTGGTCTAGTCTCATTTTAATCCTCTCCCCACTAACCTTGCATTGCTATCAGCCCCTCATCGGACGTATGACCGACCAGCAGCGGTATCGCATTACCCCACGCTGTTTTCATCATTTCTCTAATAGGTTTTGGTATCACACATTCGGGCGTCAAATATGGCTCCACACAATACAGAAATGGCGCATTTATATTACGTGCACGATCGCCAGCTGTAAGTGTTCGATTCTCCAGCGCTATTAGATCTTTCGCTTTACATTTTCTCAAAAATTGCAAAACTTCCTTCTCATTATCTTCACCCTTATATCCAGCCAATTTGGCGAGTGTAAAAGCACGAGCAGTCTGATTTTTCGTCTCCCACAATGGTAAAGCATTGCCCGACATTAAAATGACACGTTGGAAGATACCCTGCGTCTGTTCGGTGAGCATCATACAATGGGCAGATGCTGCACCAGCACTTTCACCAAACACAGTAATACAGTCCGGATTTCCGCCAAAACTTGAGCAATTATTTTTCACCCACTTAATAGCCAGCACCTGATCTTTGAGGCCAGCGTTGCCAGGTACATTCAATTCGGGAGTATTCAGCGAAAGGAAGCCTGAAAGGGGGGAGAAGAAAAGGAAAATGTGATAAAGAAGAACATATGGATAGAGTTCCTTTACTTACCCAGCACTCCAAGCCGGTATTGTATTGTTACAAGCACAACATCCTTTTCCATTAGATAATCAGGTCCATACCAATCACGAGTAGCCTCACCTATGCTAAATCCACCGCCATGTATCCAAATCATAACAGGTCGTAGCTTATCAGGTTGTATCTACATACATAGTTCAATTAAATGAAATTTTTTTAGAATTAACAAATAGCATTGTTTTAGGGTTTCATCATTGCTTTTGTGCCTACTTACATTATTCGTATATACATTGAGGTAGAGGCAGTCTTCTGATCCTTCCAAAGTGCCAGTAATGGCATGAGTTTGTAACGCCATTTCTTTGGTATTTTTGCAATCTCTTATTCCCTCCCAGGGCGTGGGTCGTTGAGGCGCTCTAAAACGTAGTTCGCCTACAGGTGGTTGCGCATAAGGTATGCCCTCGAAACTGTAGTAGGGTACATCATATATCGTTAATCGTTTGATGCCCTCTACTTTTCCATATTCAGTCTCTATAATCGCCGTTTCGCTGGTGGTGTGTCGATTCTGTTGATAACCGTGTTCATAGACTCTGCAAATTGAGCGACACAAGTTTGAGTTAGTTTGGAATAAAGAATAATAAAATTAATAATTCTCAAATATTTACGAAAGGATTACGTAGCTAAACAATAGAGGAAAATTTTTATCATTGGCAGAAATATGCAATTTTTGTTGCTCTCAAATGCTATATTATAGATAGAGATATAGGTAGAGATAAAAGCACTGATCAATCTTCTTTAAAATCGAGCTGAATTGCTCATATCTTTGCGAAAGCACTCTGCAAGACCTTTATTCCCAGCAGCACGCGTTCATTCGAACTAGCAATGTTAATCCCGGGATTCCGGGATCCCAGCCTTTTTAAGTTCCCAAAAATCCCTAGATTCTTGCCAAATAATCCCGGGATTTTTGGGATTTGTAATTTGCCCTAATGGCAATAATAGAAACTCCTTTTCTTGACCAGTATTGGCTGTATTACTTTTTTTAATTCAATAATTAATATTTTTTTATAAATTTCTAGCTCATGTTGTATATAACACCGTACGATAGTACACTTTAAATACAAATATCAATATATTCACGAAACCATGGGCCAAATATATTCAAATTGCGTTTTTAGTTTTTCACTCTGACGTCAGTAATTCTAAAATATTTAAAAAATTCAGTGAAATGTGCTTATAGAAGAAGTATAGGTATCAAGTTAAATAGGAAATCCTGTAGAATTTCAACAGATTCAAGTTTTTGGTGCAGAAGGATAAGTAAGTATTGAAAATGTCCTTTTAAATTTTTGTCCTTGAAATTTCGCAATATTTTTTTTCGAAAAAATTTTATGTTAAGGAATAGGTCCTTAGTAAACTCGATAACATTCTCGAATTTCGTCCTTCTAACCTTATCAGCTTAAAAGATTGCCTATTCGTGAATCCAAAAATTTTTAAGTTTTTTTTCGTTCTAAAGAAATTTACTTAAGCACTTTTTCGTTCAGATATACGCGGCCGCTGTGTGCGCTATCATTCCGCAGGGTCTGATTTTTATAATGTTCTTTTCTAAAGGAAAGGTGGCACCGCTGAGGTGGTTCCATACTAATTTGGTTTAGATTCGATCATTGGATCATGAAGAAATTAACGGTTCTCTTAAAATTTTATATGAGAATTGAAGTCCATTTTGTTTTTTTTTTGGCTAAAAATTACTTGCTTTTGTCCTTTTTTATTCAAAGTCTAAGAAAAAATGAACCTGAAAAATACTTGCGTTCCGCATGTACCTTTCCCCAAAAGTTTACATTGCTGACAAATGCAAATAAGGATTAAAATTAATAAAATTAAAGTTAAATATTTTCAAAATTAACAAGAAATACTTTCGCAAAATCTTTAAAGGACCATTAAATTTTTAATTTTTTTATTCATCGCCATGCTGTACATATTTAAGCATTTTCATATATAAAATTGGCTGCTAACTTAATAAAAACTACATCCATTTATATGACTAAATTGGTAAACTCATTCCCGGAACTTTTGAGACAATACATATAAAGACTCATTTAATTTCTTCCAACAATGTTTGTGCATATGTGAAATTTAGTATATACATACATACATATGTACTTGTATTTCAAGTTCAATGCGTGTGACCGCATGACTCACAAAACTTTTTTAATAGACACAGCAAGGCCGAATAGAATAACAAATGCGCCGATAACCGCATACTTATCCGTTAAAAAGCGCAAACACTTAACTTAGTGTATGTAGTTATGCTCTTTTATCTACATACATACATTTCTATTTATACGATGTTATACATATGTATGTAAACTTGAATGCACTTTAAATGAGTTAAGTGATAAAAATGGAAGTTATTTTTAAAAGAGATATGTATGTATGCGTTTACTTTATATTATGCTTTAGATAAGTAACAATAGTAAATAATATTTACTTCAATAAATACAAACTGAATAACAGGACATACAATGCATTATTTCCACTTTAGTTGAAAAGGCACATGTTTTCTTCAAGCTTGCATCCGGTCTCGTACACATTCAGCAAGCTTCGTTCTCATCTCATTTCGACGAGTGATCTCTGCTTAAGAAAAAAGGTGCAAACTGCTTTGCTTACTTTGGTTTTGCCGAAACAAAATGCAAAACCGGACAGCAGCTTGTATAAAACTCGTAATAACTGGACACTACTTTAAGCCGGCAATGCCGTGTTACTAATTACAACGCTTTTTTTAATTCAATTTTGTTAATTTCTTGTATTACGGCCACGGTGCCGATTAAAGTTCATAAAAACTAGTAAGGACAGTGCTGTTTTCAGCTATGCCGAAATCCTTATACCTTTCATGAACATCCAAAAAATTCATTTCTGTCATATAACGCATCAAGAAAATCGCTTTTTTTAGAAAAAAAAATGCGCAACACCCTCGACAAAAAAATCTCAAAAATCCAGGGTATTTTATTTTTGTTGAAGCTTGCACTTTATTAGACTACAATTTAATGGGCTACAAAATTGCATACCCCAAAACTTTCTTTGATATACCTAACTTTGATTAAAAACTTTACAATTTAATGTAAATTTTTTGAAATTTAAAAAACTTTTGTGAAATTTGATAAACTTTTGTGAAATTTGTGCAAGCCTTGAAACTTTTATTTATGTGGTTTCTGTTATAGATAGAATTATATTTTGAATGAAAATTATAAAAAAATAGATAAATAAATATAAAGTTTGAAACGATTTCATTTTGAATTTTGGAGCTTCATAAACCTCTGACCATAGCTGTATATACAAATAGAATAGATATTCCTGTACATTAGGGTGGTCAAAAAAAAAGTTTAAAATGCTAAGCTCCCACCTCCTGGGATTTTTCTAAAGAGGAAAAAATAATACAATTATTTTCGGTTAAAAATAAGATATTTAAAATTGCCTCACCCCCGTGAAGTTTTTGATGTATTTTATATGGGGGAAAAACACTTTTTCGTAGAAATGGTATAGAATTCTTGAAAATCAATATTTTTCGATCGGAAAACTGTGTTCCTCATTATGGTTTATTTTACAATTTTTTAATACCAATAATACTTTATGGGTCCCCCTTGCATTTTTGGGGCTTTTGAGGGACCTAGAAATGCTAGTGAATATTAAAAAATAATTAAATAAACAATTTGGTATTGTTATTGGAAGTCTCTTAAAGATAAACCGAGTTTTCCGATCGAAAAGTATTGATTTCCAAGAATGTTATACCATTTCTGAGAAAACGTGTTTCCCCCCATATAAAAAAACATGGACTTGGGCTTTGAGGCAGTTTAATTTTTTTTTTTTTTTTAAACAGCAATGGGTATTTTTTCCTTTTAGAAAAATCCACATGTATTCTTGATCCACCCTAGTGTACATATTAAAAACTTTACGGTAGTTGCGTCTGCTATTGAGGTTGATGTTAGTGCTCAAAGAAAGTTGGTCATAGCAAAGCTCAACTGGCTTAGATTTGTTTGGTAACGAATTTGGTTGAGCTTTCTGGCGGACCTAGGTTTTTCTAGAAAGCTTAGATCAGGTTTTCATTCTTAATTTTAATAAAGAACTAGGGCAACGAGTTCAATACTAAAAATGCTTGAGGTAACAAGACTATCCAAGAGAATAGGATGACTTTTGCTTTTTCTTCACTTTCTCAATTTAATCGTGGTTTTGCTTCCCGGCATGGAAAGCTATAAATGACTTCTTTACGGTGCGGCCCACTACACGTTTGCTTTACTTGCTTCGCTTTGAGAGCAGTTAAAAATTATTTGAAATGTACTGAAACGTATGTATGTAGGTTGGCCAAGTGGATGCGTTGCTCCAATTTTTTAAATAGACGAACGTTGCCATATGATATTTTTTTGGGAATGCAATTGCTTAAACATTTCGTTAGTTTTCTGCGAAATACACCCTGCATAAGTTTCAAAATCATATCTTAAGAAAATGGGAGAGATAAGAACAATTAAATCTATATTTCATGTCTTATTCTAAAACGAATTCAGAAGAATAGGTATTGCTCTTTGGATAAGCAGTTTGACTAAATTATGTATCGAGGGCTTATATTCAAAACGATATGTCTGCAGTTTTTACAAAAATGAGATAACTGTACAGACAACTGCCTTAGGTTGACGGCTAGAAGCGACACTTTGCTATAAAATACATGCGAAGCTACAACAAAAATTAAAAAACAATCCTATGTATTTTGTAGTATAGCATCGCTTCTATCAATCACACATTACTCAACCTTAGACTTAATTGTCATCGATTATGTTAATGCTGCATACGTTTTTAAGAAAAATTATCTATTGAATTTTTAATTTAAAATTGTAATCAGTTATGGCAGTTATGTCTCAGATGTGTTCTAATATCTGAAAGTAGTGTTGGTGAAAACTGCATATAGATCGTGTACGGTATATTCTAACTTAACTTTGTCTTATATCACCAGGTTATTTTATGAAGCCATAAAAGCCGCTTTGAACGAACAAGCAAAACTTGCGAATATTTTTCAATCACCCGCTCCGCTGAGTGTATGAAAATTCTGCGTGTTACATTAGAAGTAATTTATTTCAATAAAACTCGATATATTTAGACTCAGCCAAAAGAGTTTTGCATTTTTTTTTTCTTACCCCCTTTAAAACATTTTCAACCCGAAACCTTCTTAAAGCTCTTTCTCCAGATACCCATATTGTGATACATATTTCAATTAATAAATTCTTTTAATCCAGATTTTTGACTTTATACCAGTGGCCTTCCTATTTGTAGCTTGGAAGTACAGACTTTTCAAAAACATTTTGATTGAAAGCCATATTATAATACTTTTTTTTTTTTAAATTTGAATCGAACTTGATTTGCAAATATGTATGTGGCAACCCTTTCCGCAAAATACTCTAAGTATTCAAACAAAAGTTCTTTTACCCATATTTTAGTATACCTATATTTCATTTAACTTGTGTATAACTAAATTAAATTAAATGTGGATTTTTCAACTGGTGGCAACCATCTTAAAAATGTTTTCAAACTACCGCCTTCTCAACGCTTATTCTTTTGGCATCCATATGTCACTCATATTTCAATTACCCAATTCCCCTCCTAAATGTAGTTTAGAAACTACAACTTTTCAAAGTAATTTCGACTAACGGATTTCAGTTTAATTTTGTATTAGGTGGCAAACTTTTTTTTCTTGTTCTTACTTAGTCAGGCCACGGTCTATTGGTGTCGAAATCTTAAGCAACATTATATTATATATATGATTTAATAAATTTTAATTATTCAAACAGATGGCAACTTCCTTGAAAATATTTGGAAACTGCGATTTCTTATTTTTTTTTTATAGAGTAATAGAGTTTAATTTTCAAACAATTGGCAACCCTCTTCAAAAAAGTTTCGTTTCAAATGAGGTCTCGCGAACCCTTTGCAATTTGACACTCGTATTGCGATGCTTGATCAATCCATTTAATTTAATTTTGCCTATTTTTTAAACAGGTTGCAACTCTCTTTAAACCTTTAATCTGCCACCTTTCTTCTCGACGAGACGAACACATAGGTATGCGAATTTCAACAATTGGACCACGGCAATATAGAGTCTATCGATTGCAAACTTTAAGCAGTTTGCCTTGCAGTGACTCAAACAAGTGACTCCGTGTTGATTTTCTTTAAATAATCAAAAGTCAAATTTTGTATTTGTTTTTTTTTTTTCAAATATATTAGAGGGCTGCATGAATTCAATCAAAACGGTATATAAATTATTCATATACAAAACGAAAAAATGATTTCGGCTTCAAACTTTTTTTGAATTCGAGTAAATACTCGATATGGATGTCGTTATAACAATATTCAAACAATGTGAAGATAAATTGAATTGAAATAAATAACAAATTTATTTATGAATATCCAAAAATATTTTTTCAATAATGTTTTCTAATATTTTTCCGCCAATTTTTTATAAAAATATGGTTCATGCTACAACAAAAAAAAAACATAAAAATATAATTCCTAAACTTTTTGCAAAACTCACGAAAATTTAGCAAATCTTCAACTTTTCAACCAGATTTTTTCGAATCTTTTTGGGTATGCATATTTGTAGCCCAATCAATTTGATTGTAATAAAGTACAAGTTTTAAGTAGCTAGGAGCTACTGTTGATTTTTGGCACTTTCTTTCACGCAGTCTCTTCCATACAAACAATTTTTTTGGAAAATACTTTATATGGAGAAAATGCAAAACACCTTCAACAAAAAAAATTTAAAAAATCAATGCGATTTTTTATTAACTTCGAACTTGCATTTTTTTACTAGAATTTAATGGGCTGCAAAATTATATACTCAAAAAAAGGAAACCTAAAAAGCTGTAGTAATTTTTTTTTTTGGTAACTGATTTTGAATGTTTTTTTATATATATCAAGCGTATTTTATAAAAACCGGCATTATTTTTTTTAATTTTTTTTGCGAAGGGTGCTCCGTCTGTTATTTCATAATAAATTCATGCTTCATATCGCACATCGTCGTCAAAAGAGTCACAACTCATATTTACATACATATATATGTTCATATGTATATGCAAAGCAGTACAAAAAAATGTCAGCAGAAACTTTGAGAATACCCCTATTTTATTAGAGTAGAAAAATAATATGTTGCTTTGCCTTTCTGTGAAAATTTAGTTAATAGGGGTATTCTCTGAGTCTTGCAAAGCCCTTGCACGGTGCACGGAATGCACGGTTTGCAGAGCTGTCCCATACGAAAACCGGTTTTTACCGTGCAATCCGTGCAATATGTGCACCATGCAAGGGCTTTGCAAGGCTCAGAGAATACCCCTAATCTTTACAAAGATTGTGAAATTAGCTGAGGTCAGGTAATAGTCAAAAGGAAGAAGAACATGACGCACAAACACATGCCCGGCCAGGTAAAAAACAAAATACTCAAACGCTCCTTTGACTAAATACAAAAGCAGCAGAGAGTTAATGAAAGTAAAATTTCACAACAGCTAGTGACAACAATGCAATTTTGTCGATAGTTGTTGGCTGATATTTGATTTTTATTGCATAAACACCAAAAATCACTTTCATAAGAGAAACATAATAACTATGCTCGCATAAATTTGCTTTTATTTATTAATTTATTTTTCAATTTATTATAAACTTAGTTTTCACTAACACAAAGTGATTTCACTTGAATTNTATTACTCATATCAATTCAGTGGTTGATAGCAAGTGGTAAAAATAAATGACGAAGACGTTTAAAATCTTGCTTTATATAGTACATATACTTGCACATACAAACGCATGCATAGTACATTAAGTGTTGCCAGAAAAAATTAAATCTTCAAAAATGGCAAAAATAAATAAAAATTGTGAAACAAATATCTCTTTTGAAGGTTTTAATTAAAAAACCTCAATTTCGTTTATATTGCAAAAACATTTACTTAGTGCATTCATAAAGTATAAGTACCAGGTCGACTCAGCTTTGTCCGGAGTGCATATACTTTTTAAAGTTTTCAAGATTTGGATAGCTTAAAAAAAATATTTTGGAAAAAAAAAATAAAAATTTGGATTTCGATATCTATTATAAGTAAATTTCTTACTCTAAACGTTAGGTGGTAACACTATTCCGAAACATGCTGGAATGAATGGTACATATTTTGAGTTTATGTGTACTGTATATACATAAAAAAATGATGATTGAAATTAACAAAATAAAAATTTTTATTACATAGAAGCGTGGTAACCCTGATGGAAAATATTTTCTGACCAAAGTTCTCAACAATACCTTGCAATTGATATCCATATTGCGATATTTTATATAAATTGTGTAGAATCGAAAATAAGTGGCAACATTACACTATTATCCTAAGGGATAATATTTTGTATATAGGGAAAGCATTGTTTAAGAACCTTCTCTTGGTACCCATGAATAGTAATATTTTACCTCTTTTTCTCTAAACAAAAAATTAAATAAATACGCTATTCAAAATAGGTGGCAACCCTATCAAAAATATTTTTGGATTAAGGATCTTTAAAATGCCTTCCATTTGATACCCATAGTATGATGTTTTAATTTACTTGTAACTAATCCGAATAGGTGGCAACCTTATACGACTCTTCTCTATTCTATTCAATTTTCTAAAATAATATCCTTTCTGTTGAAAGGGTAACCGAAGAGACTGGCCTTTTTATAGCCCCCATGAAAATGAAAATTTTCAACTTTTTAGTCATATTTTTTAGAATTTTTTGGGTATGCAGGTTTATAGCCCAATCAATTCTATAGTAATAAAATGCAAGTTTTAAGTAGCTAGGATTTCCCGCTGATTTTTGGCAATTTTTTTCACGCAGTCTCTTTCATAAAATTAAAAATACTTATACTTATATGGAAAAATGCAAAACACATTAAAAAAAAAAAATTCTCAAAAATCAACGCGATTTTTGACTAACTTCGAACTTGCAGTTTTTTTTACTAGTATTTAATGGGCTGCAAAACTGCATACTCAAAAAAATTCTAAAAAACCTGATTAAAAAGTTGAAAATTTTCATGAAAATTTGCTGAATTTTCGCGAGCTTTGCACAAAATTTAGGAATTATATTTTTATGTTTTTTGTTGTAGAAGGAACTATATTTTTATACGAAATTAGCGGAAAAATATTAGAATGAAAATTGTTGCATATATTGTGAAAAATTTGCTGTGACAATACTTTGTTCCGGCAGTGTATGTATATATGTAGATGTGCTATTGTGTATGTAAAAATATATAGATATGACCCACCACACATACATATGTGCATTTATATGCATGTATATCGCATAAAACGATTTAAAAAAACAATTAGCTATATTTAAGTCAGAAAATTTTTATTTTTTTTTAATTGACCATTGACCCCGGAATTCACGATAGGGAATTTATTTTTGACGAATCGAAACAGTTTGGATCTCATCAGCAATACTTGGAGTTTAAAACACTATTTCATTTAGGTCTCTATCCATTTCCGGTCGCTAGATATTTGCTTTTATATATAAATGTTTTTTTTTGTTAAACTTTGACCTTGGAATTTAGGGTCGAGAAACTGTTTTTGAAGAATCTGAATAATTTTCCCGTATTCACCAGTATTTAGGCTTTAAAATGCCGTTTAGCTTGTGTCTCTATCTGGTTTGAATCGGGAGATATTTGATTTTTTCCCAAAACAGAACACAGTGCGTCGCTCCAGCCCACAGTAGTAGGGTCTAAGCCTCTTTGAACCAATCCTCTTGACATAGATCTATAGACAGTATTTTCGAAAGCCCCGTCGGTGTCCCAGAAGGCAAACAGAGCCATCTCTCCTTGGTTGCTAAGGCACTTTCGATCCTATTAACCATATACTATAAGGCCGAATCCGTGGATTTGCCTTAGATATATGTAATCAAATTGTGTGTGATAAATATAAGGGAGTGGACTTCTCCCTAATATCAAGGTCTAGCAGTCTCTCTGAAGTTTTCAGAGTGAAGGAGGCTATTTTAATAGGTCTGTATGATTTAGTTAAGTAATGAATATCACGCGCTCATAACAATTGCAAAAAGTTGCAAGGAGAAGAAGTAGACCTAGAGAATGATAAACATAAATATATGCGGGATATTCGTTTTGGATGGAAGATACTAATAAAATCGTGCGATTGTGTAGCTGCAAGCTTATTTCGGCTTGTATTGAATATCGTGTGGCGTATCAAAAAAGCGAACAAAACACATTGAATAAAAAGGTGAAAATTAGATTAAATCAAAAACGTCCTCGTATTCTTCGAAAAAAATTTCCTCAAAAGTGTTTCAAGTAATTTTGGATTAAACGCAAAGTGTTTCTCTGTATTTCAGCGGCGGTGCACAAGCTACGAAAACCAACAAATACAAATTTTTGAAAGTTAAAAAAATTACAACGTAATCTGCATAAAACTTGGAATAACAAGTTTAGCTGGAGCTCAGCAATTTTTATGCTAGGCGCATCCTTTTCCAGGAAAAATATTCAAAAAGAATGTTACATTTATACCTACGTTCATTTTTTTTCTTTAATTTGTAAATTGTAACTCTAAATTTTTTAATATGTGCACATTACGGCGGAGTAATTTGTTCGGAGCAAAATTTTCGTAGAAAATGTATAGCAAATCAAAATTCTACGATCCTAAGCCAAAATGGCGAACAAACTACATACCAAAAATTATGTTTGACCCTCCCAGTTTTCAAAAGTAAAAGCTGTATTTTGTATGAAGAAAACACGAAATTTTGTAAATAAATTATTAATTTCGTTCAGAAAAAATTATATTATACTGATTTTTATTTTAAAAATTGAGGGGATCAGTCGTAATTTTTGGTATATTTTGTTCGCGAGTTTTGCTTACAATCGAACGTAGAGTTCAAACACACAGGAAATGTTTAAGTGGTGCTAGAAGTCTTCATCTTGAAGAATTTTTAGATTCCATTTTAATATCTTCAATTTAAGATTTTCACATTTTTTGAAAATAAGTCTTCAGTCTTCATTTTAAAGATGAATCCGGACTTCTGGCAACACTGGATACATCTCGAAAGTGGACAAAGTATAATAAAAAAATCTTCAAGTAGCAGCACTTGGCGCGCACTCCAGTTTTGTGAGCGGGAGAGCGGTTACTTATTACTCTTTTAGTACATAATTGTGGACGCAGATAGCTTTGTTTAGCTTTTTAATTTTTTTCTTTATTCACTTGACTAAAATCATACATGCATATGTATGTACATATAGATATATGTAAGTGAGTGCATGTGAAACTTGCTACCGCCATTGATAGATAATACACTGTCGATACACGCCTGCCTGAAATATTAATTAATATGAAGATAAAAAATATCACCAAACAAACAGATGTTTTGCCAATGTAACATGTATGTGCATATGTACATATAAACAACCCGTTTCACTTGAATAGGTACAGCTAATTTCTTGATCTTTACTTTACTTGCATGTTTTAGCTCCGCTTTTACACCGAGTGCGTTCATACTAAATGTGTAGAAAGCTTTTAAAACCTACTTCCGCGATCGTCATTATGTATGATCGCTCAATAGGCAAGACCTTTCTTTTATGTCCTTAAAGGTTTTTAAATTTCTCGGCAAATTTTGTGTTACAAATTTTTTCTTTTTTTTGTTTGGCCAAATTTTGGCGGAGTCCAATAAAAACCCCAGATATGTATCCTCCCTGTCAACTGACGCCATTTAGAAATGTCAACTGAAGCCAAATCCTTCTCTGCCATCCGTCGGAAACCGGCCTCGTATCCTCGTCTGCCACCACCACAGGGTGTGGGTGCTGCCAACGTTCAAGGCTATAGAATTCGTGCCCATTCGTATGAAAATAGCAAGGCACTGACGTGAGCCAACTGTTTATTAGAGCCCAATAGATACGTACGAGTTTTGCTTCTCAATCGATGTCGTCGATATATATATGAAAGCAAGTGTAAACTCTTGTATTTCCGGTACGTTTGGATCTTATATGCATAAGTAGAACTTTAACTTACTACAATATCCAGCGCAGGGCCTTTGGGCAGCGAATTAAAATACAGCTGCTACGCTGGCTTGGTCATGCCGTTCGAATGCACTGAAACGCTCCAGCTTTAAAAGTATTCAACGCTGGTCGGGATGCTGGCAACAGAGGAATAGGAAGGCCTTCTCTGCGTTGGAGAGGCCAGGTGGAGGAGGACTTGGTTTCACTTGGCATTTCCAATTGGCGTTAGTTGGTACAGAAGAGAAACGATTGGCATTTTTTATTGACTTTGCCCGAAAGCACTTAGGCGGTTACCGCACCAATAAAGAAGAAGATGCACGATTACCTCAGTAGATACTTTGAGCCCTGCTCTCATCACAATACCTCGTTTAGCTCTAGAACCCCAGACGGATTAGAAGAGCGTTTGGATATAGAGAGTGTATGTGCTCATCCTGTGATCACATCGAATCTAGACTTTTCTCTAATCTTCTTGATTCTGCGTCACAATAAATGGTAAGTGCAGAAGTGTCTGATTAGCAGTGTTGCTAAAGCAATACACCACCTCCCGACAGATTTATAAGTTATGCAGAAATCCTCTTAGCCTGCAGTTATCCCTGGGAATGTCGGTGATAATCCGCAGTTTCTCCTCAAACAGGTTAACAAGAATTCTCTACCTCTTATGATTGTGCATTGCTAGTACTGATCTCTCTCTTGAACTCTTCCCCGCATCCCTTCGGGACCTATCACAAGGAATACAATACAATCAAGGACTAAAGCAGATTTAACATCAAAAGATAAAAAAGCCTTAAGTGCCGCCTGACTATCGCTTAAGATTTGGATTCTGTAATAACGGAAGTTATCACCTAAGTTTGTCTCTGCTTAAAAACTTACAGCGATGAACTCTGTTTGAAAAATGCTCGGGAACTTCCCCATATGCACGAATAGTGTCATACGGGGGCCACCTACCACTCCAGTGCATAGCACTTACATGAATATATACTACCTCCATAATTGAGTTATTCTTGCTGGTTTTTCTTGCAAAAGGAAGTTTTGGGGAAGGTCGATCACTGCCCCGCTAAATAGGCGTGGTGAAAGAACATGCCCTTGTGAGCATCCTTTTGTTGTTTGCGTGTTAGCTATTCATCTGCGGATATTTGGCTGCCCATTTCGTTTTCTTGGAGCGAGGAAAGCTCATTGTGTCTCCATAGTCAACGCGTGCATTGCAGAGTCCGTTGATTTTCCCTCCATATACGCGTACTGGTTTGGGTTGCAAGGGGAGCTGCCTCAGAGTGATTTTATTTAATTATTTATAATTGTCTCCATTTCTTTAAGCAAGAAAGAGTTTGGCCTAGCAGTTGTAGCTGGTTAATCTCCTATCCACAGGGCGAGAGTTAGTGAAGGTACTGATGGTCTCTCTACGAATGCCGTTTATCGATTGTCTGTACATCTTCGAGTTTTCCTTGAATATTTTCCTGGCTCTCGTCCTTCAGTTAGCAGTTTGATTTGTCTTCTGACCAATCTAGGGGAGAATATGTCTCAATAAGTGTCACTATGTAGGTGGTGTTCTGGCAACATCAGAAAACATCCTGTAGCTGTCCGGAGTGCTGTCTTATGAGTAGCCTATAGTTTCGCCCACGACGTTTTATTTGTCTCCGGTGCCCATTTTTGCGCAGCATAGTTTAAAACCAGCCGGTCAATTGCATTGCACTTAACTATGTTGTTAGGTTATTGTGCGTACGTCGACAGTCAATTTTGTTTCTCGCCATTTAATCTGAAAATAGCCTTGTAGTTGGATGAATCCTGTATACTGAAGCTTAATGCGAAGTCGATCGGCATTTTTTCCTTTTACATTTTTTCGTCTTATTATAAAAGCTGAGTTTTCCTACGGTGGGAAGAAAGAGCCCCTTTCGCGCTTAGTGTGGAATTGGACTTGGAACAGGACTCTGTACGCCCTAGAACTAAAATCGGCCAGCACTTTCCTTTGAATGCTTCGGGCATTCCCTATAAATCAAAACGAGTCTGACGCGAGGCCTTGTTTTCGTTTTCATTGAAAGTTTTTTTTAACTTGACCGTTTGCCAAACCCAATGCACAAACATATCCTTGATTGATTTTTAATGTTAAATCGCTTCAGTATTTAGACGCTGGCATCTGATTGTGGTTAGGCGCACTTCGAGTTGTATAGACGCTGCGGACATCAATGGATCTTTAAGCCGAATAAGTCGGAGTGACCCCATCAGAGCTCCTGCTCTTTTTCTCGTAGGCCAAACAAATTCCTTACCGCACCTCGCGCATGGGCTACTCTCGTTACCCATGGTGCGCGAACGTGAACGATAAAGTAGGAATCGAGTAATTAGAATCGAATAATTGGTACTGCTTATCCAGAAGCCCTAAAGAGCTAAGTTTTTATAGGACCATCTCAAATATAGCACCGGTTAATAATTTGCTTGAATAGGAAAAACCAAGTTTTGCTTTGAATGATATACATATTTATGTATATATAAATTAATGCTAATATTATTTAAAATAACCTAGTTTAGGCGATAGTTCATAGTATGCTTTACTTCTGTTTCTTACATTTCATGAAAACCAAATAAGTTAAATCAACCCGAAAATTTTTTGTTAACCCAAATAAAACTAAATACTAAAACATGAAAAGTTTGTATTCAAAAGCACATTTATTTTTGATTACCAAGTGTATCTACCTAGTGCTCTGTAGCGCTAATTAGCGCTCGCGTCCTTCTCAAATTCTTCCTCTGCATCAGATACGGAACCATAGAGTATTCGCTTGTCATATAAAGCATCCCATGCGGCCAGCTTAGGGGCATCTGGTATTTGCATTACTTGCACCTCATGGCTAATATTTAGCCCATAATCGGCACTTTTCTTTTCTATTGGTAGCCAAATATGAGGTTCGATATCCGCACAATTCGGATCACCCAATTTCGCAAAAGTTGTCCATATACCAACCATGCGTTGAATGGTTACATGCTCGTGTGAATCCTCGGCCAATTTGCTAGATTCTTGTAAATAGAATAAGTATGAGATCTCATCGGCATGTGCAACACCGTTTACACAGTCCTCGCCGCAGAAGCGTAAGCGATGATGATTAAAGGTGGGCGAGTCAAAGTCAAATCGGTAGAGAAATGTGTTGGCCGTGGCATATTTCATGCGCGCAAGTGCTGTGCGGTGGACGGCATGCCAGAAAAGCTTGTGCGAGAAGAGCTGATTTGCCAAAACAAACAAAAAAAAAACACAAAGATTTGATATGCGTGTTGAAAGCATTATAATTTTCAATTATACTCACATGCAACAAATCGAATATGGGATCCTGCGTTGGCTGCTTTGTCACCACTTCGTCCTTCTGCTTACCGAAATACAGATTAAGTATGCGTTCACCCATAACCCGATTTTCGTTATCTTTATGACTATATTTCACTTCGGTAGGCAGTAATAATTCAGGCTGCTGCCTAACTAAGTCAAATATTTGCGGGTGTGTCTTGAGACGAGGATACATAACTAAGCCCTCAAATGAATTGCCACCTATGAGCATAGGTATGCCATTGCCCCATGCTGACTTTAACATATTCAATGGATCGGTGGGTATAATACAATTATCTGATTCATATGGCTCTACAGTTGGTGCGAAAGTTAGCCAATGGAATTCACGTTTTTCTGCATCGTTAAGCAGCGAATGGTCCACTAATTTCGACGCATCCAAATTTTCCAAGTAGGCAAGCACTTCCGTGTCATTATTTCTTCCTTTGTAACCATGGTGTACAGCTAAACGGTAAGCCAAATCTCTTTGGGTCATATTAGCCCAAGAGCAAAGTGCGGTACCTGACATCAAAATTGCCTGTTGGAAGAGTCCACGAGCCTGATCGGTCAGGGATAAAATATGTGCGCACGCAGCGCCAGCGCTTTCACCGAAAACTGTGATATTATTGGAGTTTCCATTGAAGTAGTAAATATTGTTTTTGATCCACTTTAGAGCAAGCAGTTGGTCCTTGAGTGCGGCATTACCAGGTACGTCGAGGCGAGGATCGCTGAGGCTAAGGAAACCTAAAAAGAGAAAAAGAACTTAAGGTTTCAGAAAGAAAAGCCATTTTTAGTGAGAGAGAAGGAAAAATAGACGAAACAAGTAATAATAAATGGCACCCAGACTACTATTTTTATCTCAACAGGTCGATAGCCGACAATCTAATCTATCCTGAATGCAGTGCGAAAGACTACCTAACTCGATGACCTCTCCTAACTTTATACTAACTCAGCACTCTCAAACAAACTATCCTATATTGATGAACTGTTACCCCAAATAAAACATACTCTGGGCACACCAGATAATTAGGTGGAACTACAGGAATTAGCAGATCAGTGTACGCGCGTTTTCTGAATGCATTTAAACCAGCTTGCCCAAGCATGAGTTACATGAAAAGTTAGGAAGAAATTTCATTTTTTTAATAAAAAAAATTGATGGACCCTCTCTGAAAGTTATGTGGAAAGTCCTACAATTTAGCCACGGCTTCCTTACAAACCGAACACGAGGAATTATAAAAGAGTCCTCAAGAAAGCGAACCTAAATGAGACTTCTGCAGCGACATGGAAGTAGATTTTGGAAAATACTCTCCGGCGATTCCCGAACATCCCCAGCATAGCTGCAGAGATCCAATGGTCTATGGACAAAGACGTAAAAATAACCCTTGAATCTGCTCAGAAGATTAGTTTTCCTGCCGCTACGCTAATAAAGCTGAGGCTCTACAAAATGCGTATAGCAGGCTCTATAAAAAAGATGGAAGCAGTACTTTGTAAACTCATTGCTGAGGTCCCTCTTAATATCATTGTTATTGTATGCCCCTTTTTTAGCTTGAAAATCCACTTTTTCGTTGCCATCAAAGGCAAGAGACATGGTGATTTTTATTCTGGCATATTGCCTCTTTATTAAGACGTAGGCGGTATCCAGTACGAGAGCTTACCACTACACCACAGAGGTCGCCTTATACTTTTATTTTAATTGCAGAAAGTCTACAACAAAGATTTCATAGTACTACAATTTAATTCGTCAAAATTGGTCGACAAACGAAAACAGGCGGCGAACAAAATGTGAGTCCCCATTAAATCAGAATCTGATAGCAGATAACTTCGTCACTATATATAAGCTCCTAGATTAAAAGCTACATAATTATACCTATCTAATAGATACAATTTAATGAGTCAGTATTTTTTTTTTTAAGTGATTAGATATTAGCTTGGCTAAAAAAAAAAATCGAAATTTATGTCTTATGTTAACTCGGTCGATTATTTGGGTGGTAACGTTACATTCTCACGTATTTGTTTACAGTACCCAATAAACATTGGGCTTGGTTAACAATTCTGAAATGATTAGAAAAGCAAAATTTTTTCGAGTCTTACTTTCGATAACTAATGTAGAATAGATTCGTATTCGAATCGAAAACTAGGCCATTCTCCAGCAAAACCGAATATCCGTTATCCTATGTATTTTTCCTTTGTTATGAATGTTGATTAGAGAGAGTGATTGTCTTATATTTCCCTTCAAGAATGAGCTGGATTTTACTTCCTTTCTTGTTACTATGTATGGTTTTAATTTTTTTCCGAACTAATCTTGAGCGTATTTCCAATATTCTATGAAGGTTGAAAAATTAAGGTTGGTTATGAGTTCGTTCTCAGTTCGATATGCATATTATATATCGAAGGTCACTTTCGAATGTTCGCTTTATGTTTATAAGGTACACTATTTGGAAGTTAAATCATGCGTGGCGTCAGAACATTTAAAATTTCTGCGAATTGGGTGAAGGAGTATTGCTAGTTTTTCAGCATGCCATCTGCAATGAGTGCTGGAGGATATCTGCATACCAAGTTATTTTAAATTTTAGGTTTTCGCTAAATTTTTTTCTCATAAAATTAGGGCCCTGGTAACTTACCAAAACCACTGGCCACGTCACACTCATGGTGCGCTTGGAGAAGGTTTAACTCAAAGGCCTTTCATAAACAAATGATTGAGCTAAAATTGAGAATCTTCTTTGGAAGGACTAAAAATATTACTCGGTTATGCTTAAAATTTTTAACTGGGTTAAAAATCT